GCTTAGGCAGCTGTCACCGCTATGAATTCACTGGCTGCTATGTTAAGAACTCTATTGTGGGAAACAATTTGAAAGGGAGAGCTTTTTCTGTGAAAGCTTCAAGATGTGTTCAATGATTTGAAATATTTCCAATAAGATATGTGGACTGAGGAGGAAAAGTTGATCAAAAACTTTAAGTAAGGCTTTGTATACACTCAATTTAGAACTCTTTGCTGAGGTTCAAGACCTAGATCATCTTGTTTATTTTATTCTTCATTAAAGTGCACCTCTGCCTCAAGCTAGAAGTGAAGTGCCAAAATCCTATATATGTCTCTTCTCAAAGTGTTTGCAGAAAGATGGGAAACAGGAAGTGCTGAGAATCCTGTGAGAAACTCTGCCTTTGCATTTGTAGTTGATTTGTATATTAAGATATAAGGGCAAAGTTTCTTAAGTTGCTGTTCCATGGAACACTAATTCTAAAAAATGCATCTTAATAAAAAGTGTTTATTTAACCTAGGCTTCTCAAAAACTTAATACTGGAACTGTTAACCAATAAAAATATGGTATGTACTCTAGAAAGCAGTAAGCTGGAGTTTGGAATCAGCATCGGGTTTTGGATTATACATATAAACCTCAAAACTAAACGTTTTGCTAAAGGCCATCATCACAGAAAAAATGCCTTTGCTTATCTAATTTTAGGACACTGGAGCTGTAATGTCCTTCAAATTGACATTTACATATAGAGGTGTTTATGCCTATCTGAGGTTAATAGGAAAATGTAAGAGAACCAATAAAAGGCTTTAGAACAAAATGGGATATGATTGATATATTGAGTAAGAAAATTAAATTTAATGGCAGAGCTATTAAGGCAGAGTGGTGTTTAAGAAAATGACAGTAGAGATTAAAAAGAAAACCTAAGATGTTCGTATTTTATATATGTGAAAGGTGGAAATGTTGAAATATTGTGAAAGCAAACCCCCAGAATAACCAGACAGAGAGCAGCAAATAATAAGGTGATGCCTTGATTCCTCATAAAATGTAAATGTGTGATCTATCCCCCTCACCCCCACCCTCCCCTACCTTCCCTCTGAGGTTTGATCAACCAAAGGACTTGTATGCATGCATATAAGCATAACCAATGGACACAGACACCAAGGGGATGAGAGCATAAATGGGGGGGAGGAGGACGATGGGGGTATAAGGACACATATGTAATATTGTAATCAATTAAAAAAATGTAAATGGGTGGAAAAAGGTAGAGTTTATATTATCCTAAGTCAAAGAGATGACGCTCAAATGCTAATTGTCCCAGCACTGGGATGTTGTGGGTAGATTTCTAATTTCATGAGTTAGAAGACATAGCTTTTTGTTTTGATTCTGATACAATATGTGCACAGTTTTGGACAAACTGTTAGATTATTGCCTATAAACTGGGACTTGTAATAGTTACTCACTCTGTATCTCTATATTGCTTTCAGAATTAAAGTAGATAATAGTTTTAAAATACTACACAACTATAATGGTATATTGCAACAACATAATTAGTAAGAAGAGATAGCATATGCATTTTTCTGGCAAGTAAGTGTTGGATTCAAACCATTTTGGAAATAGTGAAGAGGAAGGGCTGACTTCCCAAGTAGATAATACCAATGGATGAGAAGTATCAAAAACAAATAGTTTTTTGGAAGCCAAATATGAAGAGAAGAAAGAAGGGAGGGATGAGCAGTATCAAAGAGAATGGAAGGGTCAAGAAGAGATCAGTCTTGTCTGAAGAACTCTAAAAAGTTATCATTATTATAAAGGTTACACCTAACAAATAAGGTTAGTAGAGAATTGCTAGAGTACCAAAGTTATTAAAGGAATTCCAAATGAAGAAATGAGATGAGAAAATAATGGGAAGAGATAAATAACTGGTAAGACCTGCCATATGGAAAACATTGTCATAGATTTTCATGCATATTATTTTTATGCATATATTTCATTTCAAATTCTGTGCCATGTCTTTGATGCAGAGCAGGCTTCTTGCTTATATGAGCAACCCCATCTTTACATGAATAGCTATTTTGAGATGGCAGCTATGTTGGTGTCTTTTGATACCTGGTAGTCATGGTGCATTAAAGGTTGTTTAGTGGATTGTGGAAACTAATGTTCCTTCCAGCATACTAAATGTATATTCTTTTTACTTAAGATATGGATATTCTTTCACAAATCAGTGTCCAGATTTGTTTTCTTTGGCACCAGGACTTCTTTGATGAACTTTCTATTCACAGCTCTTTCCAAATTGTCCTGAAAAACAAAACAAACAAAACTCCTTTTTTGACATCTCAGATAGTGGCCATCTTTATATGTCCTCTTGATGAGCAAGAAATGCACCCAAAGTAGGAAGTGGAAAAACATTGGTGCAAATGTTTTTTATAGTATTATGTCTGAAGTTGAAGTCTCTTATAGCATCTGTTGCTTTATTTGAGGTTTTCTCTCTAAAAATAAACCCTTAGAATAGGAATAATAGTGTCATTTTACATTTTGCATAGTGCTGAGAGCACTTTTGGCACTTAGAGAGTAATAAATACAACTTATAACTATAGCGTGTTATTTTCCAAACCAGAATGTTACCTACTGAGTAGGAAGACTAAAAGGCCAATGCTCATCTTACTTCAGGAACAAAATAATAATTTAGAATTTTTATATACTGTTAGATGACTATAGCATTCACGTTTTGATCTTTAGAGTATCATCATTTTAATAGTTAATTCTGAGGTTTCTTGGTAGTATACTATAACTTCTGAATTTAAAAAAACAATTTTCTAATAAGTCAATTGACTCTATATTATGGACATCTTATATTTTATCATTGTCTTAGGAGAAATGAAAATAATTTTAAAAAATAAACTGAGAATGAATTATGGTTAATTCTCAGATCTGAAGGCCAAATATTAATGGACACAAAGAAAACCTCTTCTGAGATCCACAGACGTACACTAATCACTGAGTCATTAGAAATATTTTTTGTTTGTTTTGTTTTTCAACCACCAAGTTCTCCAGCAGCAAGTACTAATACAGAAGAAAATGCTAAAAGGCTCTGGATCACACCTACTCCTCAGAGATATGGTCTTTCATCTTACTCTGATTTCCTTGCCTAAATTTCTCATTTCCAAAAAAACATTTAAAAAAGATATTAATGATCATCACATTTTCCCCAAACCACTATTTCGAATTTGCTCAAGGCTTGGTCAGGGTTGAGCACCTTTCACTGTTGTTCTGTAGAAGGAATGCAACTCAGAATGGAGGCCCTGGCTTTGCTTTTGTTGCACAAGTCACAGAGCTGCCCTTCCCAAGTCTCAATGCAAAAATTTCATCTGGGAATCTGGGAAGGGTACCAGAGGTGCTGTAAATTAATAGGGTCTTATACTCAGAAGCATCCAGGTGTTTTCCAGCCTTAGTTCAACAGGCCTCTTTCCTGCCACATTCTGTGCCGCATCCTCTTCAAGGGCAGATTTCCTGGCAAAGATCTGGAATGCCCATGAGCAGTTCTCATCTTCACACTTAATCTGTGTGAAAGGTCATCAGACTTTCCAGCTCATCTCCCAGTACATGGAGTTGGAAAATTCGGCTCTTCAAACATGCTCTGTTTTATTATTTAAGTATTAAATTTAAAACACTCCCTAGTGTTCCCTTTTATGAAAACTTATAGAAATGATTCAGTGCTGTATTTCTCCAAGGTAAATTAAGTGCCCAGTGTGGTATGTTACATTTGAATAACACCTTGTAAACTAACAACTGGTGGAACCTTCTGAAAACAGAACTGAGAAAGCGGAATAAGACTTTCCCTCTAAGGAATACCAGTACATTATACACTCTATAAACTGTAAATGCTTTTCATTTCCAGTCAGTTTCTAGGGTCCAGGAGTGCTTCTGCATTCACTGTCATTTTAATGTGCAATCTGCAAGGGGGGTATACTCTGAAGAGCCCAAGAGAAGGTTCTCGGTGGAAGACTGCATTTCCCTGAGCAAAACATTTCAGGTCCTTTTGTAAGACCAGGCCACCAGCTGGTGGTCTTCCTTTTGGAACCATTTATGTGGTGGTTTTGAAATTTGTGGTGTTTTTAGGACTCATTGTGAACCTTAGGTTGAAAGATAAAGTAAGCTGATAGTGGAGCAGGTATCAAAAATCCCAAGCAATCTAATTCATTGTGATTTTACATAGCTTTTTCTCTGGTCATGTGGTTTCTGCATGGATATACTCTTCCCTAAGCCCACAGAATGCTTGTGAAATTTAATCACTGATAATGTTTTAAGAATCCCAAATGAGTGAAGCAAAGTAAGTAAAAAATAGTTTCTATGTTTTATTCATACTTTTTCATGAACTTTTTCTCTCTCTTATTAGAACTATTGCCTTAATGAAAGTCAAACTACATACAGCTTGTCCAGACTATAATTGTTTGGGTCCAAGTCAGCTACCCTGGATATAAGATAAACCCCAGGATATAAATTATAGTTAGGAAACAAAAATTACTCTGACAACAATTGGTCTAAGAATTCTTCATTTGACATGTCACTTCTATTATATATTTAATATACAGATATGCATATTGTGAATCACTCACAAGATATTTCTATAGTGAAAAATATAATTAGGATTTATAACTAAACTAGAGGCCCAGTGCACAAAGATTTGTGCAAGAATGAGCCTTCCTTCCCTTGGCTGCCTGCACCACCTTCAGCCAGAGCCACTTTTTTGTTCCAGTCTGGAACCACCTTTCTGATTCCCGCACTGCCCAGAGGCCCAGAGCAGCTGGGGAGGTGTGGAATGCCTGCATCCACTTGGTGCTTGTGTATTCAAATTAATCTGCAATCTTTGTTGGGTTGATTTGCATACTCCTAATTGGCTGATGGGCATTGTGAAGGTACGGTCAGTTTGCATCTTACTCTTTTATTAGTGTAGATAAACTCAGGCACTGGTGGGATCACAATTTTTTTTAATATCATTTTTAAAACTTAATCTTTTCTTCATTTCCTTGTAGTTTATTAGAACATAAAATCTCAGAATTGGAGGGAAAGCACAAGGAAGAGTTGGACACCTTAAGGGAAGAGAAGGAGACTCTCCAAACCTTGGTTACTCGGCAAACATATATAATCCAGGAACTTGGGAAGCAGCTGAATAGAGCGACCACCAACAACAGTGTCCTTCAGAAGCAGCAGCTGGAGCTGACGGACACAGTGCATAACCTTGTCAACCTGTTCACTAAAGAAGGTGGTAAGAATTTCTTTCTCACTTTGGGGTAGTAGATATGTTATTTTATATGGAGCATATACATATTCAATATAACTTTCTATGTTGCATTGATTGTTGTGTAAAAGCAGCAAAATAACTTTATTTTTAGAAGCATCTTACAAAGTTTGCAATGACAATGTTCTCATATTTTTAACTTCAGAACACGTTTTCAAAGTTTTCATTTTTGAATTCACAATATCTTTCTAAAAGAACTTTCTAGTTCCTTCTTTCTCTCTTGGTCTTTTTTAGCCTTAGATAAAATTTATGACATTGTCACAGACAAATATTTGGTGTTGGGGTGTTAGACAATTATATAGGACAGAAATTAGCCAGTGTTAAATATTAGGTAACGGTGACAGGGAAAATTTCAGGAGGATTCCCGTTTTAAAGCTAATATTAATTATTTTGTGGATGGGGGCAGGGGGAGGAGATGAGAGAGTTGCCTGTAAAGAAAGGGATATTTAGATATTCCTAAAAACTATTATGAGGAGACAAGAGTTTTGTTACTAAAAGTCTTTATTAACACTTTATAAAAATCTGTATTATTAATGCTTAGTTGTGTAAGGAAAAGACCTAACCAGGGCATCTGGGCGTATTTATTCTAGGGTGTCTTTCTCATAGTGGAAATAAAAAATGTCGATATTGCCAAAGCCTGTTTGACTCAGTGGATAGAGTGTCGGCCTGTGGACTGAAAGGTCCCAGGTTCGATTCCTGTCAAGGGCATGCACCTTGGTTGTGGTCACCTCCCCAGTAAGGGGTGTGCAGGAGGCAGCTAGTCGATGTTTCTCTCTCATCTATGTTTCTGGCTTTCTATCCTTCTCCCTTTCTCTCTGTAAAAATTAAATAAAATATATTCTTTAAAAATTTCAATATCATTAGAATATCTGGAGCTATTTAACCATTGGAAATATTGCAGGCCCATGTTTCATCCATCCCTCTGTCCGTCCATCCACCCAACAATTTTTGACTCAGTGGCTGTGTATACTTATCCACTTCAAGCAGAATCTTTCCTATGCCTCAGAAGAGCTCTTCAAAATTTGGAGCTTAAGGTCATCTTCTGAAAGGCTTGCTAATCAGCCTTTCCCAGAGTGGTTGGAATGGTAAATGGTGATGAGCGAAAGAGAACACCACTTACATCTGAAAGTAATGATTGTTACGAAGCTATGGCTTAGCAGTGTTTCCCAAACTTTTGACATATGTGTATCCCTTCTATAATTTTCATAACGCCGAGTACCCCTTGTACTCATGAGAACCTAGAATTAGGTGCAGCTAAGCACCAGTGCATATCCCCACCAAACTCCGGTGCAACGCGTACCCCCACCAAACTCTTCCCGTACCCCTGGGGGTACGCGTGCCACACTTTGGGAAACACTGGCTTAGGGGGCCACTCATGTAATGGTTCAGTGTTTACCTACACTAGACAAAAGTGGGGCTCCTTTAATTTAAGAGTGGGCTTCAGCTCCAGGAAAAATTAGCTCAATTCCACACTTTTGCGCATAGATATAGATATCGTGATCTTGTTTTAAAGACTTTTCACATTTCTCTATTATACTCCATTACCTTTAGTTATTTCTCCTTTAGATAGTCAACACGTACCTTTTTCACTCTCTGTAAAGAATATCTTTAAACAGTGAGTTCCCAGAGCTCCGTCAGGGTGTGCTCAGAAATGAGACTGGGAAGGAAAAACCTGCTAATGAGCCGGAGCCTGCCAAAACCTTGAGTGAGAGCCCACTGGAAGGAAAGCATGGTAGGATTTTGCCAGGGAATTTTAATAGAGCTCATGAGTATTTAGAAATTAAGTATTAATATGAGACATATCTATTCTCATATTGAACTGAATACATTTGGGGAAAGATTGAAAACATGTTTTTCTTATCATCCTGAGACTTAAAGCACATGGAGTTAAGTAGTTCTTTTTTTTTTTTTTTTTTTTTCATGATGTTAGAAATATCAGGCCCTGGTGATTCTCACAGAGCTCATATGTCTGCCTACTTATCATAACGTTACTTCTTCTCTGAGTATTAGTCTAATAAATGTGACTTTAAACTTTCAGAAGCTGGGGATGACTTCAAAATTAAAATTCCTGGCTAGGTTTGGAATTTGGAGGCAACATCAGGCAGCCAAACATCTGTTCAATTTGAGAAACATTTATTGAACAGTTATGATGGCACTTCTGATAGATGCTCAGGGTCTGAGGAAAGTAACCATGTCTATTCTATGATGTAACATTAAAAATATAATAATATAGACAGAAATCATCTAATACTTCAGATCTCTAAATATTGATTTTCTCTTTAATGATACAATCCTACAATAAAATAAGTAACACCCACTCAGGGTCTGAGAAAAATAACTGTGTCTATTCTGTGATATAACATATTAAGAATATAACAATAATACTTCAGGCCTCTAAATATTTATTTTCATTTTAATGATACAATTCTAAAATAAATTCTGATTTAGTTACAGGACTTGTGATCTTAAGGTAAGCCTATTGCCCTATTTGCTAATTCTCATAATCACAGATTTTATTTGTTTCCTGTTAATCTTTCTTTTTAAATCCCACAATTAAGTATTCTAACTAAATACTTGGTTATTTAAGGACTCATAAGAGACAAAAGGAAAGTAATTCTCACTAAGACTTCCACCAAGATTTTAATTCTTTATGTATCATTATTTTCACTGGCACCATTATCTTTAGTTATGGTAAATTTAAAATTTTAAATGACTAATAGTATAATGCTGGCTAAATATCAGTTACTAAAATTAACTTTTATTCTAATTCTAAAACACATAAGTAAAATATTTCCCCATTTTTATGACAAAAAAATATTCATTTATAAAATAGATTTATTATTTATCAAAAGATTATATGTAAATATTCTGTTTTTAAATTTAAATATATTAAAGTGTGTCTAAATCATTATAATAACAATAAATGCATTAATTTTCCAAAATGTGTATTTTTAAAGTTTGAAGAGTGGGCTTTTGAAAGTTTTTCCAAAAACATCATGAACTGTGTTTTAATCAAAAAATCCAAAAATTTTAATTGACCTTAAGGATCCTCTAGTTCCAATTTGACTCAGTTATTTTTGGAAACAGGCTGAATGTAATACAAGGCAAGACAAGATTTTCTTGGAGTTTTTTCTGTCCTTGGCAACTAATTTAACTATTATGAAACCATTTCATCATTTATAAAGTCAGTAAAATTGGTCTATTTCACAGTGATAGGGAAATTATTATATTAGATACTGTATATAAAAGCAAAGATACTTATTAATCTGTAGTTCCTTTCATCCCCTCCAAGTGACAAGATTCAATTAAATACAAATTTATTAAGTGCTATCTATAAGTAAATTTTTTTTCATGGAAAATGTCTAAATATGATGCTCTAGAATGCCAGACTAGTATCATCTAAGCACCTTCATTAAGCCTCAGTTTTCTTATCTCTAAAATGGGATCATAGCACACAACTGATGAGTTTGTAATAAGAATTAGAAGAGGTTTATATAAACGCTGCCTATCTATAAATAGTGCCTAACTGTGGTGTAGTTATGTGCTGCATAATAATGTTTTATTCAACAATGGACCACATAAATGACTGTGGTCATAATGGAGCCGAAATATTCCTATTGCCTAGTGATGTTGTAGCCATTGCAACATCTTAGTGCAACACAATATTCATGTTTGTGGTGATGCTGGTGTGAAGAAAACTGTGATGCTGGTCATATAGAGTATACCACATGTAAATACACAACAGAAATATTGATAATGACTAACAAATGACTGTGCTACAAGCATATATATTTACTATACTCTAGAGTGTACTCTTTTTACTTACAAAATAAGTTTGCTATAAAATAGTATGTTGGTTTATACCGGCAGCAGCCTCATACATCTAATGTTTATGGAGTCTCCTGATTGCATCGTTTTCTTTTGTGCTTGATCTGATCTCATGTTGTTTGATTCATCATAACATCTAAGCATCAAAATCTACTGCTAATGCTGCCATTAAAAGGCCACATTGAGTGACTGACATAGAAATGAAATTAATAGTGCAGAAGGATTACAAAAGTGGAAAATCAACAAGGGTAATAATGGTCACTGGTTAGCATGTCTGATTCTACCATATCTACAATCTCGAAGAACAAGAATAAAAATGACAGAAGCTATCAAAAGATCTACTTCATTGAAGGCAACAAGACTAATAAAAATTCAAGAAGGGCCTGTATGAGACATGCAGAAACTTCTAATGATCGGGATTGTAGACTAGACACAGAAACATGTCTCTTTAAGCTTCATGATGATCATAGCCAAAGCAAAAAGATTGTTGAAAGAAGAGGTTGGACTTGACTATGATATTGAATTTACTGCTAGCTCTGAGTAGTTTGAACCACTCAAGAATCATTATTTATTAAATAATGTGCAAGTGAGTGGTGAGTCTGTGAGTGCTGATGTGAAGGCAGCTGAAGAATGTTTGGAAACTCCAGATAAGCTGACTGTGGATGAAAATTACTTGCCAGAGCAAATATTCAATATGGATGAAACTTCCTCTTTCTGAAAATGGATGTATAAAAGACTTTTATTCATAAAGAAGCCAAGTCAATACTCGGTTTCAAGGTTTTTAAGGACATGATAACCGTCTTGCTTGTGGACAATTTGCAGTCTACAAATTGACACCCTTTTGATTAGGCACAGTAAGAACCCAGGGCCTTCAAGCATATCAATAAGCACATATTGCCAGTGTGCTATAGGAGGATAAGAAATCTTACATGACCCAGTCCTTCCTCCAGGGTGTCCTGCTAGTAAAATGGAAAGTACAGTTTGTGGAATAGTATACTGTTTAAGATTGTGCTTATTATTGATAATATTTCTAAACATTTTTCTTTTATTGAGGATCTTTATCTCAATATCAAAGTGGTTTTGTTATCCCTCTATATGCCACCTCTTTGATCCAACAAATGGATCAAGGAATTATGGCA